CATATATATATTTGTTTGTTTTGTTGTTATTTGGTACTGGATCCAGTTGCTCAGACATGCACAGACCTCGCTCTCTGACAGGCGATAAAATGAGTTTAAACATGGCTCAGTTCATAAAGTCCAGATGTTGGAAGCTCAGAGAAAGAAGCATTCCAACAGAAATAAAGCTGCTCATCGTCTTCCTCCTGTCTGGGTCCTGCTGCAGGGTCCAAACACTCAAGTTCAGCCGTTTAAAAGAAATCTGTTCTTTTTTTTATAGAAACACCTTCTGTGGGTTCCTTTTAGCTGAAATTACTTCCTTGAGTGGGTTAAAAAAACGGGTTTGGAACACTTCCTTCAGGATTCTGTTCCAGAGTTTCCTGAGAAAACAGTTTCACTCCGACTCGTCGGACTCTGCTGCCCCCTAGCGGACAGGAGCGTGCAGCGCAGCACTCAGACCCAGGTACTCCAGGTTCTCTGCCGCCGGGAGGAACTCGCCGTCCCCGTTCGTAGCCTCCGCTTGAAACAGGAAGATGGTCTTATAGTCCGGGTTGTCGTCGACAACCTCATAGTTTAGGAGCGAGCTCCGGGCGGTGTTTAGGTACTCGGGTCCGGAGAACTTTGGCTCCCCCTGCAGGGAGGAGAGAGACGTCTTACACCAGTCCTGGTCCAGGTCCTCGTAGCGAGGATTCAAACCCTCCGATAGCTTGCTGCTGCGCCGGGTTTCACTCAGAGTCTGGTTCAGGTACTCTGGAAGCCAGAAAACAGAATAAATATCAGATGAACGAGCTAAATATTTATTTTTTTTGTCAAATAACATGAAGAAAAATAAACTATTGTCAATTTCCCTCCCAATGAACGCTAAAAGGAAGTAAACCGAGAGATTATGGGAGCATTTCAAACAATTCTGACAAATGAAAAATAATTCAAAATATTTTCAGGATTGGTCAGAAGCAGTCGTGTTACTTGACAACGTCCAAAACAAAATTTAATGAATAAAAGCGCAGACAAAAATATACGCAGAGCTGATTTGTCCACAGGAGACCTCCGGTCATTTCACTGCTCTGTGGATCAGTTTGTGTGTTTTTGAGTGACTTGTTGGTGTTTTCTTGCAGTAAACGTGGTGTTTAGATCAACGTACCGTGGTTACTGACGTCTTCTCTGTCCGGCGGACCGTGAGTGGGATCGGTGATGTATCGGAGGGCGATGCTGTTCTCTCTGAATGGGAGGCCGTTCTGACAGAAAACAACAGTTGAACACAATATTTCATCTTAGATAGAACAAATACAAATACATATTTATAAATCAATCTATTACGGTCCTGTATGACAGACACAGAGCTGTTGAACACACATCTGTGCAAGAAAAAAAACCTCTCAAAGGCCAACAGTTGGTGCTCTTCTGCCCCCTTGTGGCCAACTGTAGCATAGCAGGTTATTCTTTTAAAGACCTTCAGTTATTCCCAATTATTTATCAAGAAAAACTTATTGTTCCAGGCTGAGAACAAAGTGTTTGTTGTTGTTGTTGTTGTTTACCATGGCTCTGCAGGGATGATTGCCATGGTTACTCTGTTCGTTGTACGGCAGCAGGTACTCGTCGGCGTCAATTAGATCCTCGGTGTAGTCCGAGCTCAGCAGGCGGGAGTAGAACCTGCTGTCTGACGGACTCGGCAGGTCCCCCTGAGGAACACATCACATACGATCCCATTTGTTCTTTTACCGTACCAAAGAGAACGACGACTACGAGGGCACGTTCCATAAAACTGGAGGAGAGTTGTGCTGGAGTTTATTAATAATAAAAAATAACATATTAAAGATGAATGTATTTATCACCACAGAGGTTAAATATTACTTTACAAAGAATTAATAAAACCTTCAGTTTTCACAAAAGAGCAGCTTCATCAAGAACCAAATCTGTCAATTGATTCTTGTGGGTGTCTATCGGTAATTAGTTAATATTAAATATTACTCAGCCTTGCCAGTTTTAAATTCCTGGGACTTTTATTAGAAATTAGTAATTGACTCAACATGTGGATCTGGATCAGCGATGTTCAGAGAGTACTCACCAGCCACTAAAGATGTGAATTTTTTTACTTAAAAAAAAAACAAAACAATAAAAAGAAGAAAAGTTTTATTTCTATTATTTTGTTTTTAATTTTTAAACTTTCAACAATGTAACAACTATTTTACCGACTACGATTCGTTCATTCGCTGTATTTTGCAAAGTTTTATGATTTTACGCCAGAAGTTTAGTTTTTAGTAAAAAGCGGTAAAGGTTTGTACCTTGTACCATGAAATTAGAGTAAAGTTACTGAATGTACGGTATTTAATTCAATCTAATGCACATTAAAAAAAAAAAAAAAGATTATTGACTATTTTTCAGACTATAAGGTGCATTAAGCAAAACAAAACAGATAAGTCAAACTTTATTCAACTCATTCACAATAACCACATAAAATCAGTTCGAGGTCAGTAAGCACAACCAGAATTAATACATAAGGCGCACCGGATTAAAAGGCTCACTGTCGATTTTTGAGAAAATTAAAGGATTTTAAGTGCACCTTATAGTCCGATAAATACGGTAATCTGTTTTCCTTTTAAACTTAAAAATGATTTTTTTTAAATTCACTATTAAAATTTGAAAATGGCGCCTGTTTGCATCAACTTCTTAAGCCTACGGGTCAAAATTATACCATTATCAAACTGCAATCCTGGGTCGCACAGAATCCCTCCAAGGGCCACAAATGGCCCGCGGGCCACACTTTGAACACCCTGATCTAGCTCAGCCACGACTGAAACCAACCAGAAGAAATTTAAAGCAGTTTACATCAAAGCAAACCAAGAAGATGGAGCACTTTCAAGATTAAAAAGGCTCAAACAAATGATATTTATTCTGTATCCCAGTCTTCAGATGGATTTTGTTTTCCAAACCAACAATGCTGGTTTGATTTACTGTCTTTGATTCATGGAAAAAAAAAACGTAGCATCCTATATATTTATTGTATATATACATATTGTTTTTTACTGTTGAACCAAATCTTCAAATCAAAATACGAATAAAAGATATCCAGACTTGACCGATCACAAAGTTGGAAAATAAAGATGCAGCCCGTAATTTAGTTGTAAGTTAAACTTCTTCTGTTTACGTATTATGAGGTCCATATTTTTGCAAGCGTTGGTAAAAAAAATCAGTGCCCTGATTTCTAAAAATAAACTTTTTGGGTCAACCTCTAATTGGTATAATAAGTAAAAAATTAAATGAGTTCCTGATGGTGGCGTACCTGTGTGACCAGGTATCTGGACGGGTCGCGGGCCATTTGAGAGAACTCTGCCACCAGCTCTCTGAACCGGGGCCGGCAGGATGGCTTGATCATCCAACCTGCAAGAGAAAAAAGATTTAACAGAAAATATGATCACGCCGAGAGAAGCGTTCTCACTTTAATGTGAAGAGGTTCAGAGAAAACCTGTTTATAACTGAGCAGTGATGAAACAAACTGGTTTAAGGTCTGGTACCAGTCCTGCTTACATTTCACCATGATCATATAGACCTCGATGGTGCAGTTAGGAGGCTGAGGAAGCCGCTCCCCATTCTCCAGCATCGAGGCGATCTCGGTGGCTGGGATGCCGTCGTACGGTTTGGAGCCAAACGTCATCAGCTCCCAGACCGTCACACCTGCAGAACACCAGCCGTTAACGAGTGGACTCGCGTGTGAGCTAACCAGACAGAAGCGGGAAATTCAAAAACGTCTCACCGTAGCTCCAGACGTCGCTCTGATGGGTGAAGGTGAACCGAAGGATGGACTCCAAAGCCATCCACTTGATGGGAACCTGCAGAGAGAAGGGTCCAGAACAATCAGTTCAGGTCATCAGGTGTGTTTTCTGGGTTGGGCTGGGTATAAATCAACATTTCTTCAACACTCGCCTTCCCTCCGTCAGCTTGATATTCCTTCTCGTCAGCCGTCAGAAGCTTGGCGAGGCCGAAGTCGGCAATTTTGACGTGATTTGGATTTTTCAACAGGACGTTCCTCGCCGCCAGGTCTCGGTGGACCAGGTGATTCTCCTCCAGGTAGTTCATCCCCTGCAGGCAGACAGGTTTTATTGAGTACAGCAGTCTCTCTTTTATAACGTGGGAATCCGTACAACTGCAAAATAGCAATAGTAGTACAAGTTGTAAGTAGTAGTTTATTTTAGTATCTATATATAAATATATATTAAAGCGTTTAAAACCCTTCCCACACTCTTGTAATATTCTAAATAATGTTTCTAAACTCTAAACGCTCTAAAAGAGTGTCATGATTTCAGCACTCTGTCTCCGGCTGCCCTCTTGGCCACGCCCACTTCTCCGCTCTGCACGGAGATCAGCTGATCAGCTGCAGGAGGAAGCTTCACAGCTCTGGGCTGCACAAAGATGCAGCAGGTGATAAATAATTAAAAATAATTTATTTTAAATAAAAATTCCATGCCTATCATCCATCAGTCAGCCAATTGTGTGTCATGTCCAATAAAAAAAAACGTGGTAGACTGAGTCCGCGAAAAACAATCCGTGAAGTTAGAAAGGACTACTGTATTTTAAAACTTGAATGCTTTGGTCCACAGAGGAGTTCTGTGGGTGCCAACCAAGCCCAAACTTCTCTTCCTGTTTAACAATACTCAGTTGAATGGATTAGGTTTTTGTTAAGGTTAGATTTAAATAATTTTAGAACCTGGTAAAAACCAGATCATCTTAAATAAAACCCTAGAACTGAAAGACAGAGTTCACTGTAGGTTTTGTTGTATAATGTCATCTTTTCTGCTATGCTCTGACATGAAATATTTCTCTGTGTATGGTAAAAACTGCAAAATCATGATGTACGTCATATAAGTTCATGATCTGCGTAACTCCTTGTACAAAGAGGACCAGACTACTGTTATCTTGCCAGAACAGATCACAGTCAGCTGGGGGCAGTGGGTGAAAAAACAAGACCATGCCAGACCACACCCAGGAACATCAGCTGCCCCAGAGAACAACACCATGATAAGGAAATCCCAATGTAACTGATAAGGCTGTATTTAAATGAAGCAACTACATTTGTAACTCAGACGTGTGAGACGTGTTTGATGGATGTAAGGTGCATGTAAGTTGTCTCCCTTCCAGCGCTGTGAAGGTAAAATAAATCTTTGTCTGAATTCAGAACCACTTCTCAGGCTGTGTTTTTGACTCTGTCTTCCTTCCACTGAACGATCTCAGGTTGAGGCAGTTTTGAGCCAAGTGTTTGAAAGTTGGTTCTCATAGTTTTAAAAGACCTCAACAGTTTCACACTCACGCCTTCATTTTCACATTCCCAGCATTTAAAAGTCCAAATAAGTCTTGAAACAGATTAAAAAGATTAAACACGATCCATTCACCAGTGGTCACGTTAATGAGCCTCGGCAAGCTTAAAGAGCTGCGGGCGCCTCGGGTGCAGAGGCCTTCCGGCTCACCTTGGCGATCTGAACACACCAGTTGAGGAGCCACTGAGCACAAATACGATCCTTGTGGTGTCGGACGTAGTCCAGCAAACAGCCGTACGGCATCAGCTGAGTGACCAGCTGCACCGAGGATGTCAGGCAGATCCCCAGCAGGCGGCACACGTGAGGATGGTTCACGCTCGCCATCACATACGCCTCCTGCAGGGACACAACGGTCAGAGACAAACCAAAGGGCTCTCAAATCAGACGAAAAGAAGAGTAAATACTCACGTCCAGGACTTCTTGGTTGGCTTTGGGGGATGTGGCCTCTTTGAGAACTTTGATGGCGACAGCGATCCTTACATTCTCCTTTTCAGGGTACCAAAACCCCTGAAGAACACACACAAGGTTATTTTCTTGAGTTCCATCCCTGGAGTCGTAAGTTTAAGTTTAAAATCAATAGATTAATATCAACATTAGCACGACAGTACTTTATAGACGGTCCCAAAGGCACCAGAACCGAGCTCCCTGTCCTTCTTTAGCTCCGTCTCCTTCAGGATCCACAGATGTGCTTGGTTGGGAGCCTGACCGCTCGGGGTCAATGGCTCCAGCTGCAAAACGACCAATCAGAGCAAACAGATTTATTTTCATATCAGCTCCTCAGTTAGGAGGGTTTTTACCTGCATCTCCAGTTTTTAATAAATTTAAGTCAAAACCAAAGTCTTGTCACAACAATAAGGTCCCACCTCCTTCTCCTGCATGAGCCGGCGTAAAGTCCTCTTCTTCCTGATTCGCTGTCGCCGTAGCAACACGAGGATGAGCAACAACACGATGACTGCGACCAGGAGTCCGCTAACAATGCCCACCGCCAACGTGGAGTGAGTTGTTTTACTGTCAGGACACAAAGAGCATGAGAGATGTGCCGTTTTCCTGAAATAAACCGTATGCCTTCTCATACTGTCGAGCGGCAGCCACCTATTGTTATCCACCTTAAAAGAGTTTCTTAACTTTATTTATTATACCTTAATCTTCTGTCAACTTTATTGCAGCCAGAACTTAAAAGTGCACCCACAAAAATCATATACTGAAATGACCAGCTTGGTCACGTGAGGTGTGCAGTTACTTTTATTGGTCATCGAGTTACCATGGCAACGCAATAGGCCAACAAACAAGCCTGAAAAAAAACCTCGTAGGAATGAATGAAAAGTGCTCAATGGGTGTAAAAACTGAACGCTCTTTGAAATATCTCATGAACCACTGAACAGGAATTAATTAACCTCTAAAAAAAATAATAATTCTTGGACAGTCCTCTTTGAATATCCAATATTTTTATCACTCCCAGATTCAAAATGGCTGTCCAAGCAAACATGAAAAAGCACCAAATTTCTGTAAATAAGCCATTTTAGCACATACTGTGTGATAAAAGGTGTGATAGGATCCCCAAGACAAATGATTACTGCTATAGGAACCTTCAGTTCCATGTTTAATTTTACTAAACAAAGACAAATTGCTGAAAATGTTTGTTAGCAAAATATTTCATGAACCACCATTTTCAGACATACTGAGCTGAGATTTGTTGCGGTGGTAGCCAAGAGCAATCCCTATGACGTTCATATCAATCACAACTTCAACCTAATGTCTAATGCTTATTTGAGAAAGAGCTATATTCAGTCAATTTTAGACATATAAAGCTGACAATTGGTATAACAGTAGCCAACAACAATCTTCAATAAATTCAGAATGCTAATCAAAAAATTTGAGATGGCCGCCACTGCTAATTAAAAATGGCTGTAACTCAGATATTTTTTATAGCCTTTGAGCTAAAATTAGATGTACTGGTAGCTAAGAGCGAGTCCTAATGAATTCTGAATGCAAATCAAAAATTCAAGATGGCCACCTAAGCTAAAAAGGAAAGATAGTAAGCTGAAATTTAATGTGGTGGTAGCTAAGAGGAATGACTAGAGCTAGTCTGGAAACAAAATTTGCTGCCTTTTTGAGTGATATTAAGCTAAAAATTGGAATAATAACAGCTTTCAGTAATTCTTACAACATAGGATTGATGCTTAAAAAGGACAGCACAGTTCAGATTAATATTTTCCCATGAACTGCTGCTGAAAATGTCGATACACTGAAGTATTTGCTGTCATTGCAAATAAATAAATGGTTATAAATCATAATTTTCAGACATTTTGAGCTCATTTACTGAATTCTAATTTTTCATCAAGCCTAAACAAGGAATGAAAAGAAGTATAGACAAGAAAACAACAAAGTGGCTGTCCCCATCGAGGCTTGTCTATGAAATATTCTAGTTAGTATTTTCGTTGTCAGAGGAGGAATTATTGCTGTAACTTGTTTTACCTTTGGCATCCAAACAATCCAGGACCAGAACATCTGCAGACAAAAAAACAAAATAAAATAAACATTCTGTACTCTTTGTAACGTCATAGAAATCTCCATGTGAAGGATTCTGTAAGAAAATTCACCCTTGGATGCAGTTCTGGTGGCACAGCTGGCACTGGCCTGACCAATCTGCGTATTTCCAGATCAGCATGTTTTCATCTCCCAGGACGCCATGAGGGCAGTGGGCCACGCACCAGTGGCCATCTTTGAAATGGGCACACGTGGAACAATTCCCTGGACCCTGCACACAGGAGGGGATCATATTCAGAAGCCAGAAGTCATGCAATGTTTAGTCCCATTTCAACCCAATTTTTGTTTTGAATTGTGTAAATTTAATCAAATTCAGTTTGATTTAGATTCAAATTTAACTGCATTCTGTTCAGTAGTCTGAACAGGGCCAGATTAACACTTCGCTGTACCCTGGGCAACAATCTTCAAGGGCCCCATCATCACGACCCCAGAATCACCATAATCTGGCAAAATACAGAATAAATTACCATAATATACAGTAAATATATTTAAAATTCTAACTATCAAGTGTATTTTTATGTATAAAACTCCAAATGCTCATTGACACAAATCATGAAGACTGAATTAAGTTGAACACACTTTGAACACCACATGACACCATATGTGTACTTGTTTAGTAACATGTTGGCCACTGGTGTCAGAAGCATTTATAATGTGTGTATGTGGGGTGGGGGGACATACTGATGGGGGTGTCTGGGGGTCCAGTAACTATTTCAGAGCTAATGGCACAACAAGAAGTGGCCTGACTAACAGCTGATTCAATGAATTAAAAATATTATATATTCATATATTATATATTTGATGCCCAAATTAAAATTAAATCACTGTAACTTAGTTGACTTCAAATGCAATAAGATTATCAATGAATGTTTGAGACAAAGGATTTACTGATTATAACAAAGATTCCTTCAAGAAACCTCCTAATATAAATCATAAAACCATAATGACTTCTGCTCAGTCTAAATTTATCAAATGGCCTAAATCTCCTAAAGTGAAGGAGAATAATTTTAAAATTAATAAATAAGATACATCCTGTAGCCATGTTTCTGCAAAGAAGATTTACATTTGAGGTTGATTTGTGTCCATTTTGTAAATCAGAAGATGAATCCCTCAAGCAATTTTTTTTCATGTCATTACAAAGTTTTCGGTCAGACATCAGCAAATGGATTAATCTCAAACTTAACATTCCTTCTTTTCATGCTGATGACATTTTACTTTATGTGGATAACTTAAGCTCAGCTTTCTCTGATGTCATAAATATAGTCGTACTTATAGCAAAGTACCACATTCACTGTAGTAAGAGAAGAGATAATACGCCTTCCTTCCTGTTTGATGAACGATTTTAAGTCGTACTATTCTTCATTAAGTAGATTAAAAATCTGCAAAACTGCTAAAATCATCTCACAACAGATACAAACTTATTGTTTTAATTAAAACAATGTTTCTCACAAAAAAAAAAAACCTGATGAGCTTGTCAGCAGGTTAGAGAGGTGGGCCTATGATCGGAAGATCGCCGGTTCACGCCCCAGCCCCGACAACATAAAAAAAAACAAAATTGTGGGTGGGGTAGGTGAAGCACCCACACTTCACACCCTCTAAAAAAGTTAAATCTGGTCCTCTGGACATTCAAAAAAAACAAAACAAAGCAAATCAACAAAAAAAATGTAGAAACGTTTCGTCCCTCATCCGAGAGACTTCCTCAGTCTGAGCTGCTGTATTCAGCTCAGTCTCTTAAATAGCACCTTCTCAGAGTGGATCAACCAGTTTTGCTGCTGACAACCAAAACCAGCTGATCACATGCTCAAGAAGGACCATCAGCCTAACAATGGATCATTAGCACACTGATGGCTGTTTACTATTCACAGAGGGCTGAGTGATACTAGCAATCACAGCATTGTAAGAGGGGGACAGTTGAACCCGGAGGCCTCCACCCCTGTTTAATGATGGACG